TATATATATATATATATATAGATGCTTTTTCCCCCTAGAGGGCGATGTATATACCGTCATGCACTCACAAACACACAGACACACAATCGGACAATAATAATACCAAAAAGAGTAAAAAAGAAAAAAAGCACTAGCAAGCATTAACAAGCAAGCATCCGCAGTATCATTTATAATAATAGTAATAATAGTAAAAGTAATAATAATAATCGTAGGAATAGTGAAAATAGCAGAAATAAAACCGTTTACAGTTAGAAACAAGCAAAAAAAAAAAAAAAGAGTACATGGGGAAACGAAATTAATAATAATAAAATGGAAATGATATCATAAAAAAGGGAATACTGTATACTCAGCGCGGCTAACCCCATACATTGTCCATAATAAGAGAAAGAGAAAAAAAAAGGGAAATAAATAAAAGAAAAGATTTAAAAACAAGATTGTTAAAATAGAATAATGAACAGTGACAACCACAGAAAAAAAAAGGAGAAAGAAAGAAAAAGAGAGAGGTGAGGAAAAAGGAAAGAGAGGTGCAGTGATCAAATGGGGATAAATAATAATAATAATAAAGAAAAACAAAAAGATCAAAAGAAATCAAAAGAAGAAAAAAAAAAAGACGTTTCTGCACACACTTTATTATCCTTCCTTTCCCTTTGTCTTTGTATCTCTCTTTCTCTCCCCTCTGGAAATGCATCTTCGCTACCCAAAGTCCTAATATTTCAACCTATTCCCTATTGTCACTTTGGTCTTTTTTTTTCGTTTGTTTTTTTTTTTTTTCTTTTTTTTTTCTTTTTATTTCTTAGTCACTCTTGAATACATAATTATTCTTTTTTTTTTAACTTTTCTTGTTTTCTCTCTTTATTTCTTTACTATTTTTTTGTTTCGTTTTCGCTTCATTTTTATTTTTATTTTTCTTCTTCATTGCATGTATACATATATATATATATACTGTTTTTATTGTCCTTGTTTTATTTCTTTCCATTCACCCTTTTTTTTTCCTTCTAAAGTTCCCAGTAAGAAACCACATTAAAAAAGGGAAGAAAAGAAGTAAAACGAACAAAGAACGTACACATTCACATACAATCATATGAGAGAAAGGGAGAGTTAGAGAGAGGAAATAAATAGATAAATAGATATATATATATATATTGGCTACTCGCTATGTAATGAATGCATTCACAGCACGGTCGGCCAGTAGTTGTTCGCCACTGCTTACATTCTCTGTCACTGTAATGTGAATAACAGCGGCAGACTCTAGCGTAGACCGCACACGCAAATTATACCGCGGCAATTCCTCCTCCTCCTCCACACCACTTCCCTGTTGTTTCTTTTGTTGATGTTGTGATTGCCGTGGGGGTTGAAAAGTCAAGGCAAAGACCTCAAACAACGCCATGTACTCAAAGTAACCCGCAACGGACTCCGCTGGAGTGGCGACCATTTTCTCCAACTGCGCCACCCGCGACTCCGCGACTGAACTCTCCGCACTCACAACTTCTCCCCCCGCTGCCGTTCCACTCTCTCCAGCACTGTAGTTTGGTGGAGTGGTGGTACTTTCAAAGCCCCGCATTTTAAATAAGGCGAGATAACTCTCCGCCTTTTGTTGAATATGCGGCCAGAGAGAAATACGCACACGTACACTATTATATCGCACAAGTTCATAGCAGTGAAGAAAAAAGGTAAAAGTAAGGTGTTCTTGTTCTTCTTTACTAAAACATTCTTGTAATACACTGTATACAGGGGTAAGAATTTTACCACTAATAACCTTTTCTGTTAAATTCGTACTGTGTCTTTTAAAACATCCACGGTGTTGTTTATCCTCATGTGGTAACATCCACTCATACATTTGAACCGCATCTACTAATGAACGTCCATTACTCACAATACATGCTAACATTCGACAGGCCACCAATACACGAGAAACAGCAATATCAATAGCGTCTTGTACAATATGAGGATTACTCGTTGAATGACCACAATGACTTGCGGAGATACTCGACTGTCGTCTTCTATTTTCACTTAATTTATGATCATCCACAATACTTTTTAAAAGAGTGGGGAATCGACGAAATGCATCAGACCATTTCCCATTTGTTTTACATTCCACCCAATGATGTGATGCCCATGCCTTAGTACGACACGTTTCTGAGCAATAAACAACTCCACAACGACCATTACATTCTACTATACTAGGATTATTGTACATTTTTGTAAAAAGTGAGGGTTGTAGTTCTGGAAGCCCCGCACAGAAGTCTTCTATTCGAGTTAAAGGACGATGACAACGACCACAAATACGTAGTGGTTTCTTACTACTACCAGTAATATCATTATCATCAATACCGGATCCACCTAATAAAGCTACTACATTTGTGGTTTCCGTCCATGCCATTTCACATGCTACTAAACCTTTTTTTGCAAGAAGAATTACATTCATAGTTTCTCTATCTAATGTAACAGAGGCCACTCTTCGATGTTCAATTTTAGAGGCATATAACATCATTACAGAGTCACTCTTAATAAGAAACTTAATTATCTCACTATTAGGTTCAATTTCAAGCGCCTTTTCATAATAGGATCGCGCTTCTTCATATTTTTTCATACTTCTTAACGTATTGCCAGCCCGTACATATCCCAAAATACTCTGAGGTCTTAATTCAATAACACGTGTTGCATCATTAAAAGCAGCCTCTGTATTATGTAATCCTAAGAATGCTACAGAACGATTTGAAAAAACCTTAACACCACCATCAGTAGCATATCTTAATGCTTTCGTATAATAATAAACGGAAACTGTATAATTTTCATTATTGAGTGCTTCATAACCCTTTTTCATAGCATAATTATACTTTCTTCGCGACAAACCAGGATTATCCACTCTTGTTCGTTCTGGTTTACCATCTGTATCCACTCCTGGAGATCGACCATTTGATTCTACCAGAGTAACGGCACGTTGAGAAGATCTCTTATTAGACCCTAATGGATCTGTCACACTTATATTCTTTGATCCAGGCTGCAGATGCATTTCCATATCCACCACTTCATCCTCATTCACACTGCCGTACACCTCAAATAGATTATCCCCATCCTTTCCACGTTCCTCACTTGCCATGGTGGGAACACTGACATCCATTTTCTGGTGTGGAATGTACTTCTTAAAGCGCACCTTTGGCTCACTGAGACAGGCACGGTAAAGCGTGCAGCCCACAATCATCTCAGGATCCGCATCGCAGATCACAAAGGTGTAATCGCCCTGATGCCGCACCACCCGCACCGCCCGACGGCCACCAGCGCCGCCGCTGAAGAAATCGTCCATGAACGGCTCCCACAACTCCGCGGTTTGTGCAATGCGGGCGGGGCCAATATCGACAAGCTCCACTTCGCAGCCAATGGGGTATTCCTCTTCAGAGGGCGGTGGTGGGCGATCCTCCGCATCAAAGGCCTCAAATGAGGGGAACTCCAAACAGTCGTCCTCTTCACTCATAACTGGATATACTATACTCTGTTGTGTGGATGGTTGGGTCTTTTTCTTGTTTTTTTTTTCTTTTTTCTTCTTCTTTTTCTCAACAAGAGCAACTGTTTACTTTCCACTACTCTTCTTATAGTCTTTAATGGGGATATTAACCTATTCGAACGCTTTCCTTTTAGTTTGCCTTTCAATAAGATATACTCCTTATTTCGCTGTTGTTGTTGTTTTGTCCTTTTTTTTTTTTTTCTTCTTCAGTGGTTTCTTCACAAGTCTATCTGTGTATTTGTGGGAGTGTGAGAGTGTCTTCCACTTTAGTTCACGCACACCAATTTCTGTGTTGATTCCTTTTTTTTTTGTTTTACTTTTTTGTTTCCTCCCCTTCCTTTGAATGGTCTCACTCCCTCTTTTTTTTTTTCTCTTTTGTATTTCCGCTTTTTGACGTCTTGTCAAATTTACTTCACGCTTTTCTTTTTCCTTTTCACTTTATCGATGGGAGTTTTGGCGCACTTTACCCGAGAAACGCCTGTTGCGCTCTCTATGAATATCCTCCTCTTTACAGTAATTAATACAAACAACACTCCCTTCACCCTTTCTTTTCCCAGATGATAAGTGTCTGTGGATGAGTGAACAGACAGCAAGAAGGAAAAAAAGAATCAATGAAGGAAATGGAAAAGGGGGAAAAAAAGAAAAAAAAAAACAGGGACTAACCAAGAAGCCCTACTGTTTTTCTTCTTTTCTTCTTCTTTCCCTTTTGTTCCCTCTTTTATTATTCTTTTTCTTCCTCTTCTTTACCTGCGGTTGTTCCTAACAACACACAAGGTAAACAGATGGTAGGGTGAGGGGAAGTTATGTGTGTTTGTATGCACACAGAGGGGGAAAAATAGAAAGAGAGAAAGAGATGTGGGGGAGGGAAGGACTCCTTCGCAAGTATTTGCTGTTACTGCTACTTCTTCCTACATTTAATGTGAAGAAAATAATGAAAAAGAAGAAAAAAGAAGGAAGAGTGTAATGCAAAGAAGTGAAAATTCATTCAATAAACACTAATATCACGAAATATATATATATATATATACGTGCAGAGATATATGCAAATACGTTTCCGTACCTTTTTTATTATTATTATTATTTTTATTATTCTCTCTTGTCAATAGAGTTTTAGTCTGTCATTATAAAATAAAGCAAACAACAACGAAAATAATATCATCTCATCTAAACAAGATCCATAGTAGAAGCAATAAAATGCTGACGCAAGAACAATACGTTCAGATGTAAAACAAAAAACATTTAACTCCATTCAAAACTCAATGGGCATTAAGGTCACTCAAAATAAATCAGTTTGTCAAATAACCAGATATATGAATAGAACTCATTAGAAAGAAAGCATTCATCGTCAAATAAACCTGGAAATAATTGTGGTATTCCTCTTATTCACCCAATTTTACCATGTGTACACACACAAGCAGTCATTCTAACGCAGGTCTTCTACTCCTACTGTGTATCAATTACAAGAACAACAACAACACACACACAGAGACACACATCAAAGAAAAAAAAAAACACTACTTTACTTCTACAAGAGAATAGAAAAAAAAAGAAAAAAAAAATACGAAAGAGTCATTGATAAGACAACAAGAGAAAAAAAGTAAAGAAAACAACAATTATGTCTAAAAAACAAACAAAAAAATCCATAGAAAGGAAAAAGAAAAGAAAAAAAAAAAAGATAAACGCTCCAGAAAGGCGAAAGAAATAGTATTAAACCATACACAAATAACAAAGCTTTTTTTTTTTTTTCTTTTTCTTTTTTACTTCTCTTTTCTTCCCTCTATGCTTTCAGCTTCACTTGAAGTTGCTGTTCCTGTTGTTGCTGCTGCTGTTGTTGCTGTTCTGCAAACATCTCATCAAAGATCCGTGCCATACGCATGGCATCCTCATTTCGCACTCTTGGGTCCTGCAGCATTGCAGTAAATGTAGCGGCGATATCTTCCCAACTGCATTTACGGGCCGACTCCACTGCTGTCATTATACGCGGGACCTGCTCAATAATGAGTGAACTCTTAAACTTCGCCTCTGTTCCACTGGGTGGCTGCAGTAAGGAGAGTTCCTCCAACGCCCGCTGTAGACTTGTGAGGGCTGGAATTTGATCCACCAGAGTGTCATTGAGAAAGCGACGAATACGGAGAATAACTTCCTTTTTACTTTGTGTATATGGATAGCGACGCCGGCATTCCGGATCACATAAGAGTTTATGTAATGAAAACCATGTGTGTGCCTCTGCTGTACAAACCAAAAGGGCATCAGATGATGAGACTTGTTTGAATTCACCATTTGTGTATTTCTGTACAATGCCTGGTCCTCTACGCAGCCATGGTTGCAGCATCACTACTTCTGCAAGACCAAGAACGAGATCGTGTTGAATAAAGACGGCTGTTGATACTGCCAATGGTAATTGGGCAAGACGATCAATAATAAACCACAATACAGAGAGAGAAGTCATTGCACGTTGTATACGTTGTTGGTGGAGTTGTCGTTCTACATGTTGTTGTGGACTTTCCTCTTGTATTTCTTCTGCTGTGGGTGGTGTGATGATCTTGTTGAGATCCTTCTCTGCAAAGAGTCTAGAGACTTGTCGCCAGCAGTAACTCAGCAACTCCAATACATCCTCATCTAAAGCCTCTACAACCTCCTCATGAAAGGCAATACACTCAAATAGATTTAATAGTACCATTTCATAGTACACATACATATACATCGCCGTGGGATTTTGGGCTACGACGTCCATTACTAAAGGCAATACACGTTGACGCCATACTTCCATGACCAGTAATTCATGTAAAAGAACTGGAAGTTTCTCATGTTCTATAAGGAATGCTTTTACGGTATCATCTTTCTTTTGTACGGCATTACTGTGTGTACACATATTAAGTCGTTCAATGGCCTCTCGTTGTTCTTTCCATTCTGCAGTGCCAACACGTTCAATGGGAATTGGCTTTAACTGCTGAACCAATATCTCCACTTCAGAAGGAGAAAGTGTACTTCCAGAGAACTCCATCGTGTGTAACTACTTTTATTTATTTATATATTTCTTCTTTTTTCCCCTTCTCTCTCTTTCTTTCTTTTTTTCTTTCTCTCTCATAGACACACATACATACATGGTACATATGAAAGTAGATAAATAAAAATAAACAAAAACAAAAACAAAAAGAAAGAAAGAAGAAAAATAATTGTAACAATATTATTTAAATAAAGTAATTATCATTAACAACAACAACAACAAAATAAATTAATAAATAAGAGGATAGGGTAGTTTGAGAAAATTAACCTGGACATTCATTTCTTCACTTGTCATTCTAAACTCTTCAGAGAAACACACAAACAAACAAAAAAAAAGAGCGATGTGTTCCCCTTTTTTCTCTCTAATAACCAACTAAATGTCTTCACATCTATAACAAAAATCTAAGTGAAACACATATACACACACAGAGACAAAGATATATATATATATATATATATAAAACTGAGTAGGGAGATTAAGAAAAATAAATAAAAACATCAACATCAACAATAACAACAACAAGAAAAAATTAGTTTTCTTTTCCACCAGTATTTTCCGCAACACCACGTGTACGTTTGCCAGTAGGCGGCTCTATTCCATTTGGCAAATAATAATACTTGAGTAGAAACGGATGATTTACAACACGATGTAGTCCCAATCGTTTTGTCCCATCTCGTAATAAAAGAGATGAAATTAAATCCTTCGCTTCTGGTGGAATTGTATCTGGAATTGCATACTGCATGGAGTGAATCTTTTTACATATCTGTTCAGTATCTTTACCCACAAAAGGTGTTTTTCCAACCAATAACTCATAGCAGAAAATACCAAGACACCAGAGATCTGCACTCATATCATACGCCTGGCGGCCAACAATTTCTGGTGGGAAATACTCTGGCGTACCACAAGATGTTTTTCGACGATTGTTGGGATCATGTACAGACCATCCAAAGTCTGCGAGTTTAATATTTTGTTTGTGATCCAAGAGAATATTTTCTGGTTTAATATCACGGTGAAGAATATGATGTTGGTGAAGATAAAGAAGTGCCTCTGCGAGTTGGGCCACATACCGTGCGGCGGTGGGAGGTGGAAAACACTTCACCCGATTCAACTCTGTGTAGAGCATCCCATTACTGCAGGGTTCTAGAATAAGATAAATGTCTGTCTCATCAAAAAAGTATCCATATGTGCGTAAGAGATATTTATGCCGGGTATGGAAGGCAATTTCAATTTCCCGTCGTAATTGGGTAACAATGTCAAACTCTGCAAGTTTCTTAATAGATAATTTCTTAATAGCACAGACAAAGTTACAATCACGAACAGAGGCAAGATAAACATCCCCGTAATTGCCTCCTCCAAGTTTGTGCAGCAACTCAAAGTCGGATGCCCGCCAGTCGGATTTGGGTCCTTTCGGGAGTGCAATGAAATCCTCCACAACTTGTCCTCCTTCTGCTTTCTTCATCTCTCACGGTCTCAAATAAACAATAAATAATAATAATAATAATAATAATAATAATAATAATAATAATAATAATAAAAGAAAAAGAAAAGAAACAACAAGAGTGGAGCCGCTTCTCTATACACACACTCAACCACTCTCTCTATTGGTCTTGTTACTTGTAATGGTGATATAGAAAAATAAATAAAGAAAAGAAATGAAAGAAAAAAAAAAAACAATTGAACAGAAACAAATATAAATAAGTAAGGCAATATAATATCATCTCCACTCGAAAGAAATCAAGATTTAAAATAAAAAATGAACATCACATTATTTTAAAGAAATATAACTCTTCTTCTTTTTCACTCTGTCTATGCCTTTGTCGTAGTAAAAACTGACTTTTTTTTTTTTTTTTTTCTACTTTCTCCTTTTCATTCTTTTTTTTTTTTTCTTTTTCGTGTGAAAATTCAAACCCCAGGGCTCTTTTATGCGGCAAATAACTGATCAAAGGTTCTCTCCTCAATAACGGAGAAGGCACCTTCTCTGTCTTTATGTATATAGTAAAAGGTATCCAATGCCTGTCCCCCAAGTGCCCGTACAAACTGTTCATCATGTGTAATGACAATCAGTTGAAAGTGCTTAACACTACGGTGATTATCAATCAGCAGACGTAAAGACTCCGCGAGAGAGCGGGCGTTATCCTCATCAAGGTTTGTTGTTGGTTCATCCAACGCGAGAATACCGCAATCGCAGCAGAAGGCCTCACTAAGTGCGAGTCGAATGAGTACGGCGGCGAGTACTTTCTGCCCAGCGCTGCAGCGGCCCCGCATATCCATCTCGCTGTTTCCCCGCTTCATCACCACACGGTAACTGTAACTGCGGCGTGTAGTTGTGGAGGTGGCATCATCCTCCGAGCGCAGTTCCACGGTGTCGATATCACTTCCCTTATATGTCTGCCGCCAGAGATCCGCGAGAATGTGATTGACTTGTGCAATCTTCTCCTGATGATAAGACTGCACAGCCTTCTCTAGAGCACGGTAATACTTTTCAATATCCGCCACCGCAATCTCTGTCGTCTGCACCCGCAGAAAAGTGGAACGATAACGCTTCTCTACATCTTTATACTTCTCATGTGAGAGTTGACTCTTCAGCCGAACCACATCTTGCAACATTGCCTCCATGTTGCCTTCCTGTTGGGCACGGGAACGTTCTAATTCACTCACTTTACTGCGAATGAGTTCACGAATTCGGGGTACACTCTCACGGGCTACAATATCACTACCAAGCACCTCCTCTACACCAGAGACTTCTTTACGTTTAAGATCCTCAAGTGTTTTTTCAATCTCTTGTAGTCGTGTTTGGTCCTCTGCAATCCATTTGAGTTTCTCAAGTACATCAATCTGTTTTTCCATCTCTGCGGCGTGTTGATACTGTTTATCTACTACAGATCGTGCCTCTTGAATAGCTGCACGTAACTGTTTAACTTCCTCTGATGCTGCGGCACTCGCTACTTCAGCTGTGTGTAATTTTTCACGTGTCCTTAACACTTGCTCACTATGCTGTGATACAATATAATCCCGTACTTTGGGCAAAATATTTGCCAACAAACGAAGTGATTCCTCTATTTTCCCAAGACGGCCTTGTTTTGAAGCATTTTCTGTTTCTTGACGTTCTTGTTGAATTTTATTTAAAAGGTCATAAAAATTATTCAATTGTTTCTGTAGTTCTTCTCTTTTTTTATCAATAGCAGCGATGCGTTCTCTGCAACCATCCGATTCTTTTCGACACCGTACAAGTACTTCCTCCAATTCCCCTTGTCGTATGAGTTTCATCTCTAATTGATAATACTCACCTCTTTTTAAACTAAGTTCATTAGAAGCAGCTTGATCAGATTCACCATCCTCTCGTCGTTGGGCCTCATTTAACAAGACATTAAGACGATATAACTCTGTGTTTGCATTCTCATACTCTGCTGAGAGATCTTCATACGTTCGTGAAGTATCCATCATATTATTATTATTATTATTATTATTATTATTATTATTATTATTTTCCTTCGTAAGAGAAACTGTTTGAATTTCTTTCATGGAATTCTCTCTACGAAGAAGATGTTGTCGAAGAGAATACATTTCTCCCGCAATAGCATTTAAATCTGTTACAATTTGTACAATTTCTTGTACTTTCTTCATTTGACTCTCCATAACTTCTCGTTTACGTTCCACATCTTCTAAGAATGCCTTTTTATTGGCAAGTTCCTCATTTAAAGAAGAAAGTAATTGTCTTAAACCAGGGGCATTGGATAGAATACGTCTCACCTCATGTACGTCTGACTCAATGGATTCAAGACGACGAACTTTCTGTTCGGCCTCTATACTCTCCACTCGTGCCTTTTCAACGTTTTCAGGTGATGCCTGTTGTTGAGCCTTGTTGAGATCCATAAAATTGGCTAACGTCGCCTCATCACAAAACTCCCTATCACACACAGGACACTTTTTCTCTGCTTTTGCTATTTCAACAAAATTAGCATAACACATCTTCATCGCCTCTAATGCGTGACTTCGGTGATTTGCCTTTTGTAGTGTTTCCCGTGCATGTTGAAGAATTGATTCAAATTGATCTAAATCAACACCTTTTCCAAGTATTTCTGTACAAATGGTACGTTTACGTTGAAGTTCTGAGTCATTTCGTAAAATGTCATTCATTAACTGAGATTGTTTCTGTTGTAATACCGCAATTTGACGGTCCAGTTCACCGTATTCAACATGAATCATGCGAAGAGATTCTGTTCGTTGATCACGTAGTTTCTCTGTTAATAAAGACACCTCCGCTAATGCAGCGTTTTCCGTTACATCATACCCAAACGTTAAGAGTGCTGGTATAACGGCTTCTTGAATTTCAATATCTATTTTTTTTCGTTTTTCTTCTATTTGTGTACGAAGTAAATTTATCTCTGCTTCTCCCGTTGAAAGTTGTTTATGTCTGGATAATTGTTGTCGTAACTCAGCAACAAGACGATTTTGTATTTCTAATTTTTGTAATATATCATGTCGTTGTTTGTAGTTTTCACCATTTTTCTTTAATTCTTCTACAGCTTTTACTCGTTCCTCCAAGGTAAGAATTGTTTTTTTCAAATTTTCAAGTTGTAAGGGACTAGCATGAGGTTGAAGTTTACGAAGAGCTTCTTGTGTATCTCTCATACGTTCTTGTATTTGCTTTAATTGTTCTTCCTTCATCTCCTTCTCTTTATTATCCGCATCCATAGTACGAAGTGTAATGATTTGCTCATCTTCCACAAGTTTACACTTGTCATCAATTTCCTTTAACAAAGATTCACGTTCTTGAATGGAATTTTCCAACTCCTTATTCAAATGATCTGTAATGTGTTGTAATGTGGACTCATTTATGATATCATTCTCATTTAATACGAAATCTTTTGCCACATCATTTACTATTTGTCGAAATATCGTACAATTTTGTGCATGTTGTTTCTCTTGTTGTTCAAAAAAGTGAATGGTAGTACGAAGATTGGCAACTTCTTCTTCGTATTTATGCCGTTTCTCCTCTACCTCTTCAAGTAGTTTTGATTTTTGTGATGCTTCCATCTCAAGTTTATTGACGTGATCAGCAAAACCTTTTTTAACTTCTAGAAATTCTTCAAGTGTTTGTGTAGTCAGTGGAAGATTTGCTCTATTAACAGACTGTTGTCTTTCTTCTATACGACCTTGAATAACAGCGGCCTCTCTCGATAAGTTTTCTGCATTTTGTTCTACTGCACTTAAAGCTGTAGCAACACTATGTAGCTTTTTTAATTGTGGTTCCAACGATTTAGCTCTTAACTGAATAGTCTTTATGGATTCTTCCTTTGCTGTGATATCACGTGTCAGTTGTTCTGCCTGATCTCTATGCTCACGTAAAGCCATTAAATTAGCTTCATGTTCTTTTTGCTGACGACGAAATTCTTTACTGTTTTCTCGTAGACGATCCAGTGCTAGTACATACCGTGTCGCTGCAAAGATGTCATCAAATATTTTCTTTACATCCTTTGGTGGTGCCAGTGGCCAATTCCCATCTTCTTGATGACAGAAGATAACATGTTCAAGCACAGCAGGAGATACACCGAGCATCTCTGGAACTGCACGGTCCACATCACTTGCACGGTATGTATTAGAGACCACCTTTCCAGTAGCAGGATCTTGATAAGCCACGGTGTTGTCTAGTGTTGCGAAAGTAGTTTTACTGCGAGTGCGGAGAGCCTGAAAGGAACGTATGACCTGCATAACCTTTCCCCCTCTTCCTGTGAAGAGAAGACGAATTTGTGCTTTGACGTCTGTTTCTCCCATTACTTTTGGGTCGTAGACAAAAGAACTCTTCTCAGACCCACTGCCTGGTGGCATTTGACCTGTGCAGGCATTTAATAGTGCCTCAATGATAGTAGTTTTGCCGGCGCCATTCTTTCCAAGAATGACGGTGAGTGGCTTTTGAAAAACAATTCTCTGTCGGTGGGCGGGATTAGGGTCGAAACTACGCACACCGCTAATCTCAATCTGCTCAATGCTTGTCATTAGACTCCCAATCCTGTGATCCAGAGGACCACAGAAAGAAAGGGAGTGAGAGAGAAAGAGACTAATGTAAAGAAAAAGAAAAAAAGAGAAAAAAAAAAGAGTCAAATGAATGGTATTAGAAAAGAAAGCCAGAGAAAAAGAAAAGAAAGAAAGAGTCCACAGAATACATCTTTACAGTGGATTTGGTTCGCTCTCTCTCTTTCTCTCAAAAGAAATAGAGATATGAGCGGTTGATGTGTGTATGTGTTTTTTTTTTTTTTTTTTTTTTTTTGTTTAAGGAATAAAAAAAAAACAGAAATGAACAAGCGAAGAGTTCACTTTGTGTGTAATCTCACCCTCTCCTCCTATTACACCCAAAGATCCCTCCAAAAAAGAAGCTCACACCTGCGTATGAGAGAAAATGGTACTTGCCAATGTGTACAACTTCCCCACTTACTTACCAGCATTCGGGCGATAAGGCACCTTCGTTGTGTAGCGGCGCTTGCGCTGCTCCACGGGCCTGGCACGCACAGTGCGGCTGTGAATAGCGCACGCAATGCAGTAGCGCTGCTTCATGTACAGCTTTGGCATTGGGAAACCAGCGCCGTAGATGTTAGACGCCTCGGCGACATCGCGGGCGGACGCCTGGTCCAACATGCGGCGCACCACAAAGCGGCGGACGGCCTTATCCTTCGGGGCGAGGCGGCTGCAGTTGAAGCAGTGCACGGGTGTGGTGCGGCCGCGGGAGCTTGGGGGCTTGGAACGTCCGTGATTGCGGCGCTTTGTCGTCATATTTGCTTAGTTGGGGTAGTGGTGTGTTGGTTAAACGATTAGGCCTTTGCCCTTTGTTCTTATTAACTCTCAAGCGGCTGTTCGCTTCTTTCGCTGTGGGTGTGTGGAGTCAATAAACAATAAAGAAAGAAAGAAAGAGAAAGAAAGAGAAAAAAGTATATACGTCAAATAAGGAAATAATTATAATTATATATATATATATATATATATATTTGCAATGAGTAGTAGTAATAATAATACTAATAGTGGCTTTAAACTGGGAAGGAGCCAAGAAAGCCATAAGACCCACATGCTAAACTCACTTATAACCCACTTATCGCCTGTTGTTGTGTTAGTAAAACACACAGACAACTCTCCCTGGCTCCCTAACTCATAATTACACAGCGTAAATGGGAGCAATGTAACAATAATGAAAAACAAAGGGTGGGGGGAAAAAAAATGAAGCTAATTCTGTACTTCTAAGAACCAAGCCTCGTGCTTGCCGCGAGAGCACCCTGGCAACTCTACTTTCTCTCGCACTTACTACGTGCAAGCTCTCTCGTTTCTAAACTAATTCTTGTGTTTGTTTTTTCGCCTTTTTTTTTGTTTTTGTTTCCTCATAATTCCTCTTTTCTTTTTTTGTTTTAGTATGTGTGTACGGGCTTCCGAGAAACGAAAGATCCATAAAATAATCAACAGGTTTAACTAGTTAAAGATAGATATAGATATAGATATAGATATATATATGGAGAAATCATAAACACTAAAATAAAACGAAACAAAAAAAAAAAAAAAAACGTACACCCTTTCCGTTACTCACTCACCCCACACCCAAAATTTCATGCACTCCATCACTCCCCATAAAAGCATATCAGATGTGTGCACTTCTTAATCTCTAGCATCCCCAACACCATCATCGTAAATACCAAATATCGCCTCCGCCTCAGCAAGACAAGGAGAATCATACACTTTCATAATACGTTGTTCTCCTCTTCCTTTGCGAAGACTCAAACGTGTGGTCGATGCGTGTGCCATGATATGACCGCCAATTGGCTTCTTTGCATCTGCTTGGAACATCTGTGCAGATCCATCCACGTTGGCAACGACCTGATTAGTGACGACCACAGCCACACCGTACTCCTCCGCTAAATTGTGAAGTGAGCGAAGAAATTTCCCCAAGTGCATTTGTCTGGCTGCAAGCTCATTTCGACCGCTATAATCCGTACGGTAAAGAGCTGTTGCGGAGTCCACAATAATAATGGCAAAACGATTTTCAGCCATCATAGCAGATGCCTGTAATAATAATTGTTGTTGATGATCTGTATTAAAAGCACGAGCGCAAGCCACATTGGCAAGAACATCTTGTGGATCCAATTTATAACGCTCCGCAACGGCAACAAGTCGTTCTGGTCGAAATGTACCTTCGGTATCAATATAAAGTGCCATTCCCTCCGCCCCACCTTGTGAAATGGGCAATTGGCAAGTTACACAGAGTGTATGGCACAACTGTGTCTTTCCGGTACGAAACTCTCCAAATAACTCTGTGATACTACCAGTTTCAATTCCGCCACCGAGTAATTTATCTACTTCTCGACTTCCTGTAGTGATCATAATAATTTCTTTTCGAGCTTCATGGTAAACAACGGCAGATGTAAAACCCATTGGAACCAACTTTGCACACTCGGACATAATTTTTTCAGCTTTTCCATCACTGATACCCTTCACAGCTAAAATATTCTTTTTGGGTGCATATGCAACAGATTCCACAGTGTAGAAACCAGATTCCATTAATCTTTTAATATCTGAAGAAGCAATACCATAGTTCTCCAGAACTTGAATAACACGAAACCCTCCATTACTGGTACCATCTGCATTTTGTTGCTGTTGTTGTTGTTGTTCATGTTGTTGTTGTTGTTGTTCTTCAGCAGCAGGAATTTCAGTTTGAGAATTTATTATTTCATGAACTTCTTCTTCCTCAATAGTCTTAGAGCGCCTGTTTTTCCTGGAGCGAGTGTTCATAGCTGAAATAACAGAAACAGATATATCTTTTCTTTTACTCTGTTAGCTCTTTTTTCTTTTCTTTTTTGTTTTGTCTACGTGTGGGTGTATGTGTTTGTTTGCTTGCTTGATTGCTCCGGGTGATTTCTCACTCAGCTGTACCTTTCTCTTTTTATCCCTCCCTCTTTCTTTCTTTCTCTCTCTCTCTCTCTGCCCTGCTCTTGCTAAGAAGAAGAGCAATGAGGGAAGAAATGCAAGGCAGTATATATTGGGCGTAAACAAATTGTAGTTATTACCTCAACCGTATAAACACAGGGTCGTTTACAGAAAAGAAGGGAACCAACAAACACGTTACCAAGAAAAATAGATTGGTAAAACACTATATAGTAGAAGAATAAAAAAAAAAATGCAGCAAAATAAAAAAAAAAAAGAGAAAAGAAGCATGGAAAGAAAAAAGGAAGAAAGAAATATACTGTTATACCCAACCAAAACCCATTCTACTTTTCTTTTTTTTTCCTTTATTCTTCTTTTGTATTTGAGTTAACTTAGTAAATACGTTCCATACCGGAGTACAGCTGGCCACACTTTTTGCACTTTCCTCCTGTTGCACATTTCATAGCGCACCTCGCACAGAAAAGTGGATGTTTGCAGGTATTTGCGCAATACGTTATCGGCTCCGTGTGGCACTTTAAGCAAACCTCGTCAAACTCTTCACTGAGATTTACGTCTGACATTGAGGGAAATATACACCTGAGCTCTTACAAGTGATAATGTAATATATATATATATATATATATATATATATATATCCTTTATACGCTCACAATGATGTTCGGTACTATTGCTGTTTGTTTATTTGTTTGTCGCTTCTTTTTTGCTATGTCCTTAAGATTTATCTTTTTTTTGCTCTTTTTGTTTTCAAATACAGATAACGAGAAAACTTTAGTGAGAAGATCATTTTTTAAAAAAAAAATATATATATATATATATATATATATATATTTATTTATTTATTTTTAAAACTTGTCAACGTATTTACAACTATCAAAGCACCAAAGAAATATATTCAAAAGATATATTAAAAGAAATATTAATATCAACATGTCTACTAACATCAACATCTAATTATTATACGCCAACATCCACAAAGCGTGGCGCTATCCACACTAAAGAAAAATAATAATAATAATAATAAAAACAATCATACCCTGGCTAAAACAGCACTTTATTTAATAACGTTCTCATTCAAGAGGGAATCTTATCATATGCAAGCTTGTTAATAATAGCATCATGATTCGGATACTGAGAGATAAGCTCACTCTTTGTGAAGAGCTCAAAATCTCTGTAATCAAACCCAGGGGAGCACATACAGCTCACCACTGAAAAACTTCCCTCAACCTCAACACTTGAACCAAAAATAACATTTTTCGGAACAACTGCCTGTAAAACCTCACCATTATCGATATTAGGACCCACCAAAATTTTTTCATACACACCATCTGGGTGAAGTACATGAACTGTCAATGGGGATCCGGCGTGATAATACCACACTTCATCAGACTGAATGCGATGGAAGTGAGATGGGTTATTGTGTGTTAGTAAAAAGTAGATGCTAGTGTAATAAAATCGAGCACCTCTGGGTGTCTCCATCGTTGTGTCTGAGCGAAGAACTTCTTTGAAATACCCACCCTCTTTGTGAGCGGTGAGATTCAGATTCTTTACCCAGTAATCCATATTCTTATCCGTGTTACCCATTCTTTCTTATTCTTATTTGTATACCTAAAGAAGGTGAAAAGAAAAATACCAGTGAAAACACAACGACTATGATGTGAAACCCACACTAATGGGAGAGAGAGAGAGAGAAAGAAAGTAAAACAAAAAAAAAAAAGGAAAAGGGAATAAAAAGAAAAGAAGGCAATAAAAAAAAAAAAAATAATAACAAAAACAAACAACAGGTTTTTCCAGAAAACCACCGTGTTCATGTATAATTTTTTTTTTCTTTTTTTTTACTGACGCAATGAAAATATTCTTGCCAAGAGGGTAGTGTTTAGAGAGAAGGAAAAGAACATCACTAATACGCACGTCGTCACCGAGGTGGGGGGTACAGAAAAAAAATAAGGAGGTGTCTGTCCAAACTCTAATTATTGTTGCTATTCATAGAGGTAATGTTTTCCTCCCTTATTCTGCAGCATGTCTCATCATTATTTTTTTTTTTTTTTTTTTATTTATTTACAGAAATGAAGTGATTGTGCTTTTTCATTATTTGCTTCTATTTTTTTGGTTGTTGTTCTTCTTTTTCTTCTTTTGCTTCTGCTGAGTTTTATTCTTGTTGTTGTTTGGTTCTCCCTTCCTTTTTTTTCTTTTTCTCGTTTCATATGAGACTCTACATTTCCCCACCCCCTTACCTCTCAATTCAGTGAAGCATGATATGCACGTCGTTTCAAATCCATTATGTGACGTTCTTTAGCCTTTTTTCTGTATTCCTCCAGTAGATCATCAAAACGACGTCTGTCAGCATTACAATCTACCGCCAGAAGTTTTTTTGCAATATCTTCACATTGTTTATCTAGCGTTAGAACATCAGCTGCAAATGTTTTTGCGAGAGCCTCAGGGGAACTAACAGCATCTAATAGTGGTGTTGAAGCTTGTAGTTTTTTCAAAACAGATAATTGGGCATCAAGACGTTGTTGCAAATCATCCACTTCTTTTCGTAGACCTTCCACTTCTGGTTCCAAGGTTAAATTCTCTTTTGCAACCCGTTCAATATCATCAATTGTCTGTCCACTCGCATCACGAATACTTTTAAGAAAAGGAAGCTGGTACGCATAGGACTCCAAACAATTTGGATTAGATATAATATCCTCTAACATAGAATCCGATAATGCCTCAAGTTGATTGGCGATTTGTTCCATTGACGGTGGGGCAGCGCTTCCCCACAAATTTGCAAGATTACTAAATGCCACCGCAACTGCATCTACTAGTCGTGAGGTTGTTGGATTCCACTCGCCGCTGGTGGAGTTATCCGCCCCCACGGCTGTAATGGGAACCTTGCGGCCGCCAAAGTACGCCACAGTGGGCGGCGTGCGGGGGAACTTACTGTCGAGAGCCACGTAGAGCACAAGTGTATATCCACGATCGGGGTTCATGTGCTCCACCTGCAGAAGTGTCTCTGACGATGTCTGCCGCACAACTCTAACATTTTCAAAATGACGTTTTAACTCTTCAATATGTGCCTGCTGCTGCTGCTGCTGTGACATGACTATTACTGGGAATAGGACACATAGGGAAAGGTGTCAGGAGGGGACCATACAAGCAAGAGAAAAAATGAAAAAGAGAAATAGCAAATAAAGAAAAAAAACACCTATTATAAATATATATATACCACATACAAATAAATATCGATAGAAATCCAAATATTTATTTATTTATTCTTTTTTTTTAGAAATGCTTTTTTCTTCTTCTTTGAGTCTGACATTTGTACGCAAAAAAAAAAAAAAAGAAACACTACAGGTAATGTATATTAATCATACACATCCTCTTCAAATTTCCTCAATTGTCAGGTCATCATATCACTTCGAGACCCTAGCCTTGGCCATCACCTCTGCTCCGGCGCCAGCAACTGCACTAGATTTTTTACTCAATATTTTTTCCCATAATTGTTTCGGTGAGGGTGCCATAAACGGAAGTGTAACACGTACAACAGGCACCACACCATGAGTAGCAACAGCATTATCACCTCTTTCAATTCGTTCACATAAAATATCTACAATAGCATTTAAATCAACACCTTGTAAAAATACATCCATAGATTGATCCTCCTTTGGGTTTATCGGATTGGAGGATGAACTTACTCGCATGCGTCGAGGAAGTGGTAATGTCTCTAAGCGACCTTGATGTTTTGGAAAGAGTCGTATATGATCGTAATTATGAGAACCAGGTATTCCCTTCTTAGTTTGAGAACTAAAATTAGTATTCACTACAAGATGAGCACTGTCATGACGAAGCTGAAGTTCTGTATGGGTCAAGCGCAACTGAAATAAATGACCGGCAGTCCAACGTCTGCGTGCCAGAGAAACAGTCCTTGTGGAAGAAATAGATATCCCCATAGTGGAAGAGCTTAATTCACCTTCTTCATTGCTATTTAAATTATCTAGCTCATCAGCATCAAAAAGAGATCGTTCTAGTTGTTTCTCCTCCTCTATATCGTTAGCACACATTATTGCTACAACTTCTAGAATAACCAAACCAGCATCAACATCTTCAGTAGAAGTGAGATTGCGCACAAATGCACTTGAACCCCAGTTGCAAGTAGACTTCACTCTATTATTATTATTATTATTATTATTATTATTATTATCATCTTTGTTGTTACTACATAAAAGTAGGTATGTCAAACAATAATCCCATAAAGCTTTGTTAAGAAGTTTTTGCAAGTTTATAGTAAAGTTATCTTCTTTGCCATAATTCACCGTTTCACAAAATGCGCCTTTACTCTGTGCCTCAAGAATAGCCTTGTTCTCCTTTTCCAACTCCCGCATGTTGATACTATCGCCATTACCAGCAGCAACATCATGATCACTCTTTCCTAGGGTACGATGTGGCAATTGATACTGCATTGTCCATGGATTTTTATACACCATCAGTTGATTCTCTTTGCTTTTCATAATCCCATCCGCCGCCACGCAGGCGGAGTTCCACGCGCAGCAAACAAATCCCCGCGGGGTGTGCGACTCCGCCGCCCGGCAGCCCCACGACGGGAAGGCGTCCCACAACTCCCGCTGGCCCATCGCCCCGGCCGCTGGCGGCGTTGCCGGTCGCAGGGCGGCGGCCCGGAAGAACTCGTCGACGGCCCTCTCGCCGTCGCTGGCGGCCCCGTCGCCGTCCACGTCGCTCACGCACTCCTCCGCCGCCCGCCGCAGCCGCCGCACCGCCGCCGCCCCCGCCGCCGAGCCGCAGAATCCCAACAGCCCCGCCAGCCCTCACATCCGTCAATGAGAAAGAAGATAGAAAGAAAAAGAAAAGGGAGATGAGGGAGTTGTCGTGAAGGAAAAGGGGAAAGAATGGAAATAATAAATAACACCAAGAAAGAAGATATAAAAGGAAAAATAAAATGGTATCATGAGAGAGTCAGAGTTTTGCCATACAGCACTACCATATAAGAAAAAAAAAAAGTGGGGGAAAAACAGAAGCACACCACATCAGTTCCACGGCTGACTGAAAGAAAAAATGGAACTACCAATGGTTTTTCATGTGTTTTTTTTGTTGTTGTTGTTGTTGTTGTTTAAAATATATACAATATAATTGTTTATAGGAGAGAAAGTTGAGCAACTTCCAAAAATCAAAGAGTAAAATTCAGGGAAACAAAGGAAAATAAATTTAAAAACAGCATACGTTCATTTGAGTACAACTGCCGGAAAAATTGTCTATACTGTATGGCATTTCCATGGAGAAAAAAAAAGAAGTATACAGGAAATGTGCATCCGTGAAAACGGATAAAAAAAAAAAAAA